TCAAGGGCAGGCGTGATGAGCAAGTGGAGCTTCACACAGTGGTTTACAATAAATGGCACGTATATTGGTTCAGGATAATTAACGATTGAAGTTTAGCTTGGGAAACCGAGATATCGAATGCTTTTCGGCAGTTTGGGGAAGACTTGTCTGGGTCAGAAACAACTGTGTTTTCTCTCCTAGCAAAGCGTATAGAAGAACTCAGGGGAAGCGCAGTTAGTTCAGTGTAAAACATTTGTTTGTGAACCTGCAGACCAAGATGACTTTTTCAGAAATCTGGAGGTTACTAAAAGCTGAGAAATCTACACTCTTGACGTTGGTATGTGTTCGTGTAAAAAGATTTCAGAGCTGATAGGCAAACGCTAGAATTAATATAAAACATAGGTATTAAGTTATCCCAGAGCAGTGGGTCTGTAGATTAAGGTGCAGAGATAGCCTTTAGTCAAGTCACATGTTCTTCCTGTTGGATATGAGATGAGGCAAAATTTATGTTCTTGATTGTTTGCAGGAAGTGTGTTTGGTTGTGAATCCTATCTGCTTGCATGGATCGGTTGGAGTGGCAGAGACAATAAGGAATTTACAGGAATCAGGGGAGTGAGGGATAGCAGTGTCAGGAAGATCTAAAAACCACAGATACAGTCGGGTAGATTGGTTACCTTAAGGAGAGGTAGGCAGGTAGTGCACAAGTCTCCTGTGGCTATCCTATCTTAAACAAGTATGCTATTTTGGAAAGTGTTGTTAAACTTGAAAGGGTGCAGAAGAGATTTACAAGGATGTTGCAGGGTTGAAGGATTTGAGATACAGGGAGAGGCTGACTGGCTGGCGCCATTTTCCTTGGAGTGTCAGAAGCTGAGGAGTGATCTAATGGAGGTTTGTAAAATCGTGATCATTAACAATAGGACGAAAAACCTTTTATTTAAATGTGGTTAGAGGCTGGAACTTAGATGTTTATTTGAAAAGAAACAATATCCTGGGTTATTGTGAGAAGGCAGATGAAGGGCACTAAATGAGGTATTCAGTTAGAGAGCCAACGCAGCCATAACCTGAATGTCCTCCTTTTGTGCTGTAACAAATTTATGATTCTGCTTGAGTATTTGCCTCCCTACCTTCCTATTTACTGTGAAACCTCACCTTATGGGGGAAATTCACTGTAGGGTTGTACTTGAGGTAGGTAACTTGTGCTGCAAGGGATCAGTGATGAGAGACATTTGTTGAGTATGCAAACAGGCAATACCCCATTTTCTCTTGCTCTGGGCCTTTGTGAACGCATACATATTTTCATATAGTCAATATTTATTTGACCCTAAGAGTGCAGCAAGGATGTCATGTGGATTTATTGCTGATTGAAAGAAAAGTTAAGAAATAAGCAAAGGATGCATCTGACAGGAACAATTCGAACTTGTACCTGATATGCTTCAATTATTTTTCCACCAAAGACCCTTCTGTCCTTGGAAATTAAGGAAAAGTGAGCATTTTAAGCAGAGGGGAAAAAAGAATCCTGCACCTAATGATGCTACTTGGCCTGCTGTGTTCATCCAGCTCTACACTTTTTGTTATCTCAGATTTTCCAGCATCTGCAGTTAATACTTTCTCTGAAATTAATTCTAATGCTTCCTGAATTCTTTGTCAGAAGTTACAGATGTGAATGCTCACAACTTCAATCAAAATTTGATTGATTGTACATTAGTGTTTGCAACATACTTTTTATGTCCTATTTCTAATGTAATTGTACTTGTGGGTAATGATCTCATGTAAATTGAGAGACTGCTACAGGAATCCAATGATAACACGATAAATAAATGATAGGCTGAATTTTTATGATCTGATAAATGTAATTTGTCACTTGTAAGTTAAGTGAAGTAATAGCTTTTGACTGCACATTCTTGGGTGTGTATGTGCATAGATAGTTAACCGTAGTTACTGCTGAGGGCAGTTTTTCCCAGGCACACATTGTTATTGTTGTGTATGAGTAACTTGAACAGTTTAAAGGAACTTTTGAAAGAAATCTGTTTCATGCTTTGAGATTATGCGCACCAAAGCTTGATTTGAATAGTAGAATAATATCCACCTTTTCTGATGGGTCTACGTACCCATTCGCATTGCTTCCTTGGTCTCTGACTTCTTGTACCTGCTGTCCCTCCTCAGGCATATAATTCAGGGAGATCCCAGATTCAGAGTATACATTGGAATAAGCACAGAATATCTCAGCTGACTTTAAGTGACAGCTGCAGTGCATCTGGTCTTTGTGTTCTTAGGGCTAGGAGGAAAATTTCAAGTAGTGTTGGTATTTGCAGAAATTGACAGTGCTGTCTGTATCTGTAGATGTTTGTCTATTATGACTGTGTTGTTTGATGTACTATCCGACTTCCAAATAATGCTTGTGAAGTTCTCTCTGGAAGGCTGCTGCTACTCTTAGAATTATGTCCAATCTAAGCCACTTTGTCTTCACAAAAGAAATTAAGGATAAAACTTCATTCAAATGACCAAAGCTGACTGTCATTCATACTGAATAAGTCAAGGCACTAACTGCTTTAAATGCTTATGATATCTTGTTTGCTGACTGATTTAGCAGATTATAACCAGATATTTATCACTCTTTCAACGAAAATGTCCCTCTTTGAATCTGTTTTTGCACTAGTTTCCATTTATTACCTGCACCCTGTTCTGTCTTGCCTCAAGACAGTCCGTATTCATTTTAACAATGCTAATTGATATTTTCTGCACGACTGAGAGCCTTTAAAAAGTCTTCAGCCTCAAATGAGTCTTTTGTGCCAAATTACCTGTTTCTGCGCTGTATGTTGCGTGTAACTTCCTTTTCTGGAAGTCTGCTGGTTAAATCTTCCTTGGTGTGTCGGGTAGGAGAGAGGTGCAGGGGGAAAAGAAGAGGCAAAGGGGTAATAAGTTGTTTGATGTCTGAGCATCTTCAGTGCCAAGGAGGCCAAGTCTTCAGGCAAGGCATAGTGTGCTTCTGCACCACCTAGTGGTTGGATAGAGAGTAGCATGCTCTTAGTGCACATTTGCAGATCTGCTCCTCCCCCTTGGTTAGGGATGAGCAGCAAAAGGATTAGGGTGGCAGGGGAATTGGAGATGGAAGCTAACAACAAACAATGATTAAAAATATGGAGTACCAATTGTACTTTAAACACTCATGGGAAAGGTGGAAAATAGAAAAGCAAGCATTTTGTGAGTTAATCAGCATTAGCAAAGAGAGCAGCAAAGTTCATATTTCAGGAGGGAAACTTTTCATCAGAACTGGAAAAAAAAACCTTAATATCTGTTCCATATTTCCAAATCTTTAATTGCTGATTATTACATTTACAAGTCACTGGCAGGGTTAGGAATAGCTGGGTAGTAGACTTGATTGACAACTTTCTCAAAGAGCTAGCATAGGCTTGTTGGCCCAGTGGCTGTCTCCAATGATTGTAAGACTGTAAATACTGTGCTGTGTCTGTTGATGACTGTTCACATTGCAATCAGCACCATCAGTGGGCTATTCCCAATCCTATTGGTGGTGTCACCTAATACTCACTAATTCTTCGATCATGAGTACACGTATGTCAGTCAGTTCTATGGAGTTTAAAGTAATAATGAAAAATCCTGTAGGTGTGGATTGGCTCTGCCAGCATTTAAAAGAAGTGGGTTGATGCAGACAACTTAATGCAGGGTGTTCTGCTACAACGTGTGTTCCGGCAACGCGAATTGGTTATAACGCGACTGACAAGTAGGGGAACGCTATCTGTAAAATGTGAAACTTGTGTTCGCTGTAACGCGATTGTATTGGTGTGTGAAGCAGTATGCGTCAACATCACATGAGTGTTTTGCAGGCTTTGTCCAGTGCTGTGCAATTTTGGAAGAGCAGGCAGTTTGGTGGAAGCTTCTCCCAGAATTTTTTCCAAATTTTAAAACCTTGGATCTGTCAGAGGAGCTCCCAAAATCCAAGAACATTGTGCTAATCTTGCAAAGCAAGTTGAATTTGAAGAACTGGAGAGTGAGGATGTGGAAGAGCTGCTTGAGTCCCACTGTGAAGACCTCTCTAGAGCTGATCCACAACAACTTGTCGCTGAGGGGGAAGTCGAAGCTGGGAAGGTGAAGTCCAGGATGCAGCACCATGAGAGCTTTCCATTTCTGTTTTGTCTTCTATCCTGAGGGAAATTGAGAAGCAGTTGCAGCTCTTAGGGGACAGCAATTACAATGCAGAACAGAGCAGGGTAGCAGTTTGTGCAATAAGATCTTAGTTGGCACTGTATGAACAGCATCTTCATGAAACAAGAAAAAGAGCAAAGCAGCAAAAACTGGATGTCTTTGTTAAGCCAACCCCCAAGAAACAATCAGAAGACAATGAACCACAGCCGTCCACTTGTGGATTAACTAGTTTTCACCCTAACTCTGCAACCACAACTGCACCTGAAGGTGGTGATGATGATGATGACCCTCAGCCCGTGTATAATCAACAGAGTAACCTCAAAACTACCTCCCCCATCAAGTCAGCTTGACATTTTTTTTTCAAGATAAAGTGTTAAATTTACTTTTATTTCATTATTAGATACAAATTAAACTTTTATGCAAACTGTGCTATCCTTTGTGTTAGGCTTTTGAGTGATATTTTTTGGTGGTCTGCCCCAACCCTGCTTTTTCCCATAGGCCCAGTTACTTCTATAGCATGATTTTCTATCAGGTGATGTCGCAGGAACGGAACTAACGCATTATAGCAGAACCTCCCGTAGCGTTAATGGAGAAAAACGGTCAAAGATGCTTCTGAAGTGCACAAGGAAAATATTTTGGTTGTAGGCTAAGAATACAAAAAAACCTCATGAAGCTTTGTTGTAAGTGTTGATTTGTGCTATTTGTGCTCAACCATTTGTTGTTTTCCAGCACCCCATATTCCTCCCACCACCCTCCAATATTCACTGAGCATTTCTCTTTATTTCAGTTTTTCAGCAATTGAAGTCCCCCATCCCACTTTTTGATAGTAAACACTACAAAAAAAACTCCATAACTTGAACTTTGTCCCTGAGTTTGCAACTTTATTTTGTTTTGTTAAATAAGTTTCATTCGTATCATGCTTATACACAGACTATTTGTAAAATAAGTCGGCAATCTTGTCTCAAAGTCTAAATTTAAAAAAAAGGATAGCCACTGGGCTCTGAAATTCTAAAACAATCCCATGCAGTCTTCCCTTCACAGTCACAACTTGAATGTACACCTGCTCAGAGAGCTTCAAGTTGATTTTTTGTTCAGGTAAGCAGAAATCAATAAGTTGCTTCGGAATTAATTCACGAGCAGCTTGTAATTCCAACATTCTTTAGCTCTTTGGGTATATTTCAAATTGACACTTCTAAGTGAAGCTTATAATGTAATGCATTACTTGCCTGAAGCATTTATATCTTTTACACTGATAATATGAAAAGCAAAATTGGGTCACCAAAGAGACAAAAAGCCATTGAGACCTGTTATTTATGGAATCATTTGTAAAGATGATGAGTTGGTTTCAACTTTCTTCCCCTCGACTCCTTCCAATTTACATTCAACAATTCTGGTCGCATAATTAAAACCTCAATAGGTTATATAACCCTTTCTTAAACCATCTGCTACATGGTATCATTCTTGTAACTGTATACATTCTGCAGTCTTCAGTAACCCATTCCATTGAGGAATGCAATGAAGCAAAATATTGCATTAATTTGTCCTTATCATCCATTTATTGCATGAATTGTATAGCTGATAGTGAGTTCCCAGCCGATCAGCGGTTCATATTTGAGTAGAAAAGACTTTTTAAACTGACTGACTGATCTGCATTAATTTCCATCGATGATGCTTTATCTCCAATTTCTAAATTACATATTCCTAATTCTGTTCAAGTTGGGACTAATTAAGTTTTTGTCACTAAATAACATATGGTAATGCATTAAATGCTGCGATAAAATGAGAAATTGTCACTGAACGGGCCCCCACCAAGCTTGTCCTCTGTTTGCGAATCTTGAGGCATATGAGATGAGGATTGAAGCAAGTGAGTTGATTCAATAAACTCACTGATAATACAAAACAAATCTTAGCATATTTTTCACTGGGTGACCATAGGTTCCACCTTATCTAAACTTCCCTTTCACCAGCAGCTAAAAATAGAAGTACCTTAAATTGCTTTGTTAACCGTTCTATTATTTGAATCTTGCTCCATTGAGCACTTAGTAGCAATATGCCCAAAGGGGACAAAAATGGCAGATCAGGGATTATAGTCCACAAAAATCAGACTGATTTAATTACCTCTTCACTCAGCTAGGCATGAAGTTTTCCCCTTGATTATAGTAATGGTTTGGCAGCTTCTTCGTCCTTTGATGCCGTGGCCTCATTCTTTTCCTCTACACGTTTGACATGCTCCAGTTTTACAGTTGCTGCATCAGCTGGCAGTTGGCTTGGACCACTGGACCAGAAATCATCATTTCTTTTTGTCTGCTTTTTCAGGGCGGACTTGAGAATGTAAACCTGATAGGCCAAAGAAATCGTTGATACAAGCAATATGGTGCAGAGGACAATCAATATACCTATAACAATTAAGATAGTGAGAATTTTTTGGCCATTTGATCCTTGACTTGAAGGTGTGCCGTTGCTGGCTTTGGTAGTTGTCCAAAGAGGAATTGTGGTGATAGTGATTTTTTTGGTGGTTGTAAGAACAGAATTGGGATCCTCAGTAAGGTGTTTGCCCTGCGTCATGAGTTGTTCGGAACCGTCCGTAACATAGTCATCGTCAGTAGTAACATCATTATAAACAGTTGTTGGATGATCAGGACCCTCGGTACTATATTTGCTCTGCATCATGAGACGTTCGGGACCCTCAGTAACATATTCTTCCTCAGTAGTAACATCATCATAGACAGTTGTTAGACGATCAGGCCCCTTGGTACTATATTTGCTCTGCATCATGAGGAGTTCCGGACCCTCAGTAACATATTCTTCCTCAGTAGTAACATCATCATAGACAGTTGTTAGACGATCAGGACCCTCGGTACTATATTTGCTCTGCATCATGAGGAGTTCGGGACCCTCAGTAACATATTCTTCCTCGGTCGTTAGGAAATCAGGGGGATCACTGATGTATTCTTCAGTTGTAACAATTGGTATACAATTAACCTTGATGTGACTAAATAGCAGAACCAAGATTACAGATTCCACCAACGAGTATGTTAGATATTGATTCATTGTTCCTGGGCCTTCACCTGTCAATATACCATATAAAAGAGGTTGTGATTAGTATGTGAATGTTTTGTGCCAATGCGTTAGAATAGAGCAGCAAAGAAATCAGTTAAACCTTCAACCTGTCAGATTTAGTAATTTTTCTTTCAATTACATTCCATTTAAATTGACATAGCTCGTATTGGATTAGCAAAACACAAGTACTTTTAATTACTCATTCTTAAAACTTTTTGGTTGCATCATATTTCTGTTCTAAGCCAATGTTTAGGTGTAGCAGCTCTGTAAATTGGACAGATTTATTTTGGAACATAAGTACAGGAGTAGGCCATTGAGCCCATCAAGCATGTTTCTCCATTTAATGTGATCGTGGCTGATAGAGCCCAGACCATCCCTGTAACCCTTTACACCATTAGTAATCTGAAATCTATCAATCTCTGTTTTAAGCATACACAAAGACTGTGATTTCACAGTGCTCTGGGACGGAGAATTTCAAGACTGACAACCCGATGAGTTTAAAAAATATTTTATCATTTCAGTGCTAAATGGCATTTGCCTTATTTTCAAATTTGTCCCCGGTCCTAGACTTCCTAACCAGAGAAAACATTTTACCTGCATCTACCCTGTCTGTACCTCTAAAATTCTGTGGGTTTCAGTGAGAGCACCTCTCATTATTCAAAACTCCAAAGAATATGGACCCAATTTACTCAAACTGTCTTCATAAGACAGTCCTGTCATTCTGGACTTGGACTTTTTGAATAGATTGAGACTCCATCGAGTGACTGGGTGTCAATGTTCATGTTGGTGAGAATCTAAAAGGTCATCTTTTTTTCGTGCCTAGTCAGTCCTTTCTCTCGGGACTACCAATGAGGGCTGCATTGGAGGTACACTGTCCAGGTGGCAAGTGTGTGTTTTTATAAACTTTGAGCAGTGGTTCACTGGGTGCAAAGTTAAATGGGGACAGAATTTTCAGTACTTCAAACTCTAAAGCCAAATAAGCCCCGTTCGTGAAGATGAGGTCCTCTCCACTCAGTCTTTGCTATTCCAGGTTTATCTGGTACAGTCATTTGCTGGATGGACTCAGTCGTTCAAGAACCTTGGGGTAACTTTCAAATGTGTATAAACTTGAAATGTTTTTAGCCTTGCATGTAACCACAGATCAATGCGCTCAGTGTTTGACACACAGTCTTAGCCTAACATGATGCTGATTTTGTTATGAAGATGGTGTGAAACTTGGACAGGAACTTGTTAGCAGTTGTGTTCCCATGCTCCTGGGCCCCTTATTCAACAAGGTGTTGGAGGTCATGGCTTTGTGGATAAATGTACACGACATGGACTGTAGCAGTTGAATTTAAAATGAGAGATTCTTTTGCCTTCGTCTCAGAGGGCCTTGGGGGCGGGTGGGGGGGGGGGTCTGTGTGTGTGTGTGTGTGTGTGTGTGTGTGTGTGTGTGTGTGTGTGTTTGAGAGAGAGATGGATGATTGATAGTGAGTTTAACTTGAGGGTCACTACACTTCAGGTGAGGGGTCTGTGGTTGAGAAGGTTGATCTCGTAAATCACTAGTTCAAAATTATAAAATTTGAAATAGATTCTATGGAAATGTATTACATTTCAAATACATTTCACACTGTAATGGCATCAAGTAAATAGAATTGAGAGATCAAGCTTAAAAATTTGCTTGTTTATACAAGTTCCAAACTTGTAGCAGAGCTTGCTCTCAAAAACTGTGAATACCTCTCCGAAAGGCCTTTGAAAACATGAAAGTACTTACTCTGACATACTCTGCAGTTGGACTGATTCCCCGAGATACAGACAGATTATCGTGGGTATCAAAGGGTGGGGCAAAGTGCTCAATGTTGTGCTACTTCGCAGAATTTCTGTCAGATTGGACGTGTGCAATATGTATGACTGATAAAATCGCTTGTGATAATGTAATCATAGCTTAAACTTGTAACTTGTAATTTGGTAAGGGGAAGAATTAGAAGGGAATTGGGAAATACAGCTTTCCATATTTGGAGGGCAGTGTCAAAGTCCCATTTTCACTGAAGGATTTTTCCTTTGGTTAGATTCTCTGCTCCAAAAAAAATTTCCTGACCAACAGTGAGTTCTCTTTTATCAGTTTCTAATGCTTATCAACGTCAGTCCTTAAACTTTGATATTATCTGCAGAGATCAGTGAAGATTGAACTTCAATACATTATTGAAGGTGGACCTCAGGAAATATGCAAAGTTCACCTTAGTTATGGTTTTTGTAACTGGCAAAGTGAATTCCTTACCTGGATTAAACTTGAACTCACCTGCTCAAAACAAAAGACTGGAAACCAGGGGTAACAGCATTACAAAATGTTGTGGATCTTGTAACAGTTTTTGATGCAGTGACTGTACTGACTGCATCCTTATTGTAGTTTCCCTGGTCCTAATGAGCATTCAAGCACTGACAACGATAAACACAATAGGAACCCTTCTGAGGAACGGTCACTGGACCCGAAATGTTAACTCTGCTTTTTCCTTCACAGACGCTGCCAGACCTGCTGAGCTTTTCCAGCAACTTTGTTTTTGATAAACACAATGGTGATGTTTTAATTAAATGGGGTTTATGTTCCTTCTTTTGACCTACCCATCTGAAGAACTGCAGTGGAGTTCCATCTCTTCAGAACAAGGTGGGGTCAAGTGTTCATAGAATAGAATCCCTACAGTGGAGAAACAGGCCTTTCAGCCCATCAAGTCCACACCGACCCTCAGAGCACCCACCCAAACCCACCTAATCTACACATCCCTGAACACTGCGGGACAATTTAGCATTGCCAATCCACCTAGCCTGCATATCTTTGGACTGTGGGAGGAAACCGGAGCACCCGGAGGAAACCCACGCAACACGGGGAGAATGTGCAAACTCCACACAGCCAGTCGCCCGAGGGTGGAATCGAACCCAGGTCCCTGGCGCTGTGAGGCAGCAGTGCTAACCACTGAGCCACTGTGCCACCCCAAATGATGTCCATGAGCATTAGAAACTTTGAAAGAAGACATTACTGCTGGTCTCGGCATTTTATTTTTGGAGAAAGAATCTAATCAAAGGATTTTTTTTTTTTTTGAAGAACAAGTCCTTCAGAATGAAAACAGGACTTCAACACTGCCCTGCAAATATGGAAAGCCATATTTTCCACTTTCCAATCTAATTCTTTCCCTTGCCAAGCTACAAGTTCTGTGATTAGGAGCACAGACTTCAGAGGAGGCCATTTGGTCCTACAAGCCTGCTCACCCATGAATTAAGATTATATTTTGTATTGTTGTGGTCTCAAGTCAACTTTCCTGTTGGCCCCTTTCCCCACCTCCAAACTAAACCTTGCAGGTTTCCTTGCGTGTCAAAAATCTAAATCAGCATTGAATAAATTCACTGACCCAGCTTCCACTGATTTCTGGGTGGAGAATTCCACAGACTGACTGCTGTCTGAGAGAAAATTGATCTCCTCATCCAGTCTTTACAGTGAGAATTCACCCATTAAAGAAGCAGCAGTTAGTGCCATGTTAAGCTGTGCTTTCAGATTTATTTTCTCCTTCACAAACCTCCACTAGTTCTCCAAAGTTTTGCTGTGTATTAGAGTAGTTGGAAACTGGACACTTCGTGAACGATAGAATACATCAAACAAAAGTAGTGTTTAAAACTACCAAAAATGTTGAAGCTGTGCAGATTTTTGGAGACAGTAATGGAAACACAGTATCCTCCAGTTCTGCAGTATTCAAGCACACCTTCAAAAGTCTTGCAAGCACTGAGGTATTTGTGTTTACGGTTAATCAAAAATATGCTACCCTTGCATGCTCTTAAATCAAAAGTTTGGTTGAAGATGAATGCAGTAAATGTTCATTAACCCAGAGAAAAGTAACAGTTATTTCCTACCTCCAGTACCTCCTTATCCACTTTACTTTCTTCTGATCAATATGGATGAAATGTACTCCAAAGTTTTTGGTAGATTTGCCCAGTTGCTTGACCAGATAAGTGACTTAACGAATGTCAGGTCAGATTAAGATTGAAAACCACCTTGCTCAATCCCATTTGCATCATTTGTTTTTATACTGGTGATGTTGATAGACCACGAATGATGAGCACATTTCCTACTTAACATGTACAGCTTTAAATTAGAGCCCTGCAGCATCTTTAAAACGGTTTTGAGAGACTGGTTTGAAAGCTTGAGAGAGCAGCCGGGACAGGTTTTGTGTGTTTAGCAAGGAGGTGGCAGGCGTGGTGAAAAAAAAAATAGGAAATGTTGCAAGCATAACAAAAGTTAAATGTGAAAGCAAGATGACTCAATGGTTTCCAGTCTTAGAATGTAGCCAGAATTCTGTAAGAAAATTTGTGGGGGAAAAAAGCACAGAAGTCAGGAATGACAAACAACATCTAAAAGTCAAATCTAGAGTTCTGACTGTTACTGAATTTAACCAGGAAGCAAAAGAAACATGGATACAAAAACGAATCCCTTTTGGGGAAAATTAAAATGGTCGTGGGTGATTCGGGTGTTTGATCTGCCCCGATGTTCCTATGTCAATTTAATGTAGTGGAAATTCTCCGGAATGACTTTTCAAATTGGCCGTGCTCGTTGTGATTTTCTTCAAAATTTAACTTGCATTACTGGTTTATTACTGAATTTTTAAAAGTCGATTTATTTTCTAACAGATTACTGATCTTATTATGATTTTGTTACTGGGATGAGGATGTCTCTGGCAAGGGCAGATTTTATCGCCCATCCTGAATCCATTTCAGAGAGCAGTTAAGATGCAACCAGATGGCTGTGTGTCTGAAGTCACATGTAGGCCAGACCAGGTCAGACGGTAGTTTCCTTCATTAAAGGGCATTAGTGAACTGGATGGGTTTTTCTGACAATCGGCAATGGCTTCATAAGTCATCATTAGACTCGTAATTTCAGATTCTTACTGAATTCAAATTCCACCATCTGCAGTGACAGGATTTGAACCCAAGTCTCCAGAGATATTAGGAGAGATAGTAGGAACTGCAGATGCTGGAGAATCTGAGATAACAAGGTGTAGACCTGGATGAACACAGGCCAAGCAGCATCAGAGGAGCAGGAAGGCTGACGTTTCGGGCCTAGACCATTCTTCTCCAGAGTATTGCTTGGGTCTCTTAATTCACAGCCCAGCGATAATACCGTTAGGCCATCACCTCACTGTAAGGATGAGGATATCTCTGGCAAGGACATAGTTTATTGCCCATCCTGAATCAGTTTCAGAGAGCACTTAAGAGGCAACGAGTTTAGGTGGGGTTTCAAGTTCCTATAAGCCACACTAGATAAGGACCACAGAATACCTCACTGAAGGATGATAGTTTCATTGATTATTTTTTCATGTTTATTATTAATATGATCAGCTTTATCAATTAATTGAATTTGAGTATTGCTGCAAAAAGATGCATTTTGTTGAAGTTTTTTTTAACTCTTGAGCTCATCACATCATTTCATAAGAGTATCAATTGGAGATTGAATCCAACATGCATACTGAGAGAGGACTGTGTTGATTGGATTGCAAGTGAACTCTGGCAGGTGTATTGTTGTGGAGAATGCACCACGTAATGATGATTGTCAGCTAACGATCAGACTTAGTTTAAGTTTTAAACCAGGGAAGTTGATTGGTGTTTGTCACTAACAGGATACTGTTGACCAGCAAAAAAGATGTTCTGCTTATCTTAAAAATGAGTAAATTTAGTGTGTGAAATTCATTGCCTGTGTTGTCAGGTATGCAGACCAAATAACCCAAATGGTTGGTAATCTTGTAAAATGACATATCCCCATTGGCATTTTGTACCAATGTACTGACCATAACCAGTCAGCCTGGTTTTACAAAATATGTGATAGTGTCCAAAATTAGATGTGATTATGCAATTAGTTCAATTCCAAATTTCCAGGTGGACTCAGTGAGATGCATTTGGTGTGCAAGAAGCTATATATCTTAAAACACAAGGGCCTGTTCTTTGCAGACATTGCGCTGATCATCTTCCAACTCAAGAAAGTAGATACCTGCAGTTCAGTAGTTTCAGGGCAATGCCTTGTCCAATCAGTCAACGTAACTGCTTTAAAATTAAACAAATTTAAATAAAGCCTGCCAGCAAATTGTCAATAGTCATTAACTGGTACATTCTCCATGACAGTGCCTGTATCAAAACACTCGACATTCATACAACACAAATGTTGGTTTTCCATTTAAATTTTTATTCTTGTGAATTGTCCCGATGAGTTCAGGATGAAAAGTCTCTTTCAGCAATATGTGAGTACTACACTATCAAACAACTAATTAATTGAATTTAAACTTTTTTCTAACTGTTGCGCTTAAGTTTAAACTCATCAGTGATACAATAGTCTGGTCTTTTGGATTGCAAGTAACATTCAAATTACATACCAATAACATTACTCCTGTTCTGCTGTGTCCCAGGGTGAACCTCTGTGGTGTGTCACAATTTAAAGTGCACTATAAAGTGCATCAATTTTAGCAAGTATGAAAGGGAATGTTAGAAATATGGCTGTATGCCAAGAAATGTGTGACATGGAAACAATTATTAAAAGCAGAGCCCTGTTTTTGTAAAGAGTTAACTTCTTAAGGTGATGAAAAAGGTGTGTGGTTTAAGCAGAAAAGTGGGTTTAATTTAGGTGATGCAGAGAAAAGCCAGGGTGCGAATTTCTTGAGTTAAATCATCCTGTTTATGTGCTGGAAAATGCTCTGGTCCTCTGAAGGAAAGCAACCCAGAGAGATTCTCAGCCTCATTGTGCACATTTTCTAAAATCACTAACAAAAACTGTTCCATTGAAATAAACTAAACCGACCAACATTTGTTTATAATGAATGTTTTATAGCATTTACGAAAAAGTTGATGCTTTGAAGGCACAATTTGAGGTATATGGATATGATTTTATTGCCATTACTTAAACGTGGCTACAAGGTTGGCAAATGAACATCTAAAGCTATTTGTCATTTAGAAATGACAGATAAAATGTAAAAGGAGGAAGGGTACCACACTGAATGAGGGATAAGTTCAGTGTCTTAGTTAGAGAGGATCTTGCATCAAAAGATCAAGATGTAGGGGATCGGTTTTGGTGTAATGAAGAAACAATAAGGCCGAGAAAATGTGCTTATAGGCCAAGAAGAGAGATAATGTTGGGCATTGTGTGTAAATCAAGGAATTTGTAATGTGATCAATATCATTTTTAAAAACCTACAGTTTGCAGATGGGCTGAGTAAACCTGATGACCACTCATTCTGCGAAGAATGAATTATCAACATGTGTCCGAGCTAGTTTTCTGGGGTAGTGTTTTGAAAAATCTACTTGGGACCAGGCTAATTTAGATTGACTGACTATTTTATGATAAGAAAGGATTAATTAATAGAGATAGTAGGAACTGCAGATGCTGGAGAATCTTCTGAAGAAATTTCTGAAGAAGGGTCTAGACCCGAAACGTCAGCTTTCCTGCTCCTCTGATGCTGCTTGGCCTGCTGTGTTCATCCGGCTCTACACCTTGTTGTCTAGGATTAATTAATAACCTTGTTAAGGAACCTTTGGGAAAGAGTGACTATAATATAAACAGAATTTTGCATCAGGTTGAAATATGTCACATCAGTCTCCAGATTGTGAACATGGGTCAGTTCTAGAGTCAGTTCATAAGTTGATTTGTAAGTAGGTCAGAACACAATGCAAGACAATGTAAAGGAGAAGGAAATATTTGTTTGTTGGGTCTTTAACATTGCATCCCTGTGTAGGATTGCGTTTATAAGTTAGGCATTCCTAAATCGGAGACGTCAAGTTAAGTACTTGGTCTATAACAGCTACACGTTCCCCTGAGGCACAAGCACTTGAAGGGAAAAGTGAATCAACTGTGGCTAATGAAAGATGTAAAAGATTGCATGAGATCTGAGGAAGTGTCTTATAAGGATGCCAGAAAAAGCCTGAGGACTGGAAGCAATTTAAAACCCAGCAAAGGAGGACAAAGAAACAAACGGCAAAAAGAATATGAGTAGAAACCAATGAGAGACATAAAGATGGACTGTATGGGCCTTTTTAGGTATGTGGAAAGAGAAAGATTAATGAGGACAAGTATGGGTCCATTACACGTGGAGACAGGATATTTATTGTGGAGAACCAAAATGGTGAGGAAACTAAATGATTATTTGCATTTGTCTTCATGGAATAAGATGCGGAAAATCTCCCAGAAATTCTAGGCAAGCAAGGGACTTGTGTAACTGAAGAGCTAAAACAATTTCGTGTGAGTAAAGAAATGAAACTTGAAAAATTAACTGGATTAGGGATTTATTAATTTCCCGGCCCAGATGAGCCTTATCCCCAGAATGTTGAATAAAGTAGCAATTGAGATAGATGCATTAATAGTTACCTTTTGACTTCTGAAAGGGTTGCTGCTGACCAAGTTAGCAAATTTAACTCCACTGTTTAAAAAGGAAGAACTGCAGATATGTCGCAGGAAAGATGTTAGAATCTGTTATAAAAGATGTGGTAACTGGACATTTAGAAAAGAATAGTAAACTTGGGAAGATTCAACGTGAATTTATGAAATGGAAATCATGTTGACAGACCTGTTGGAATATTCTTGAGGATGCTGCTTGTCATATAGATAAAGGAGCATGGAGTATTTAAGTTTCGAGAAGTCATGTAATGTCCCATGAAGGAAGTTAGTCACTAAACTTAGAGTGCGTTGATTGTGTGTATACAAGTATGGCTTAAGGATCGGTCAACAACAGAAACGGGAGTATGGATAAATTAATGGCTTTCATGATGGCAGGTTGTTACTAGTGGGGTATGTGATAAAGTCTCATAACTTATTATTTGAAAGCTTATGTTTCTCAAGTGGATGAGAAATTAAGTTTAGTTGTCATTTCTATGAAAGTGTGACTTTTTTTAAGTGATCAGTCATCTTGAACAGATTCAAACGGTATTTCTAAGAAACCATATGATAGCTAAATGGCTTGTGAGCACCACTACTCCCCTGCAAAAAAAAACGAGTTTGCTGAAACAGAAACAGAAATTGCTGGAAAACCTGAGCAGGTCTGGCAGCATCTGTAAAGAGAAATTGGAGTGATCCTTCCTCAGAAGTTTGCTGACTTGGGTTTAACCACCCAGAGAGAGCGAGGGCCAGGAACCAGTTGATTCAAAGAGATAGTAGAAACTGCAGATGCTGGAGAATCTGAGATAACCAGGTGTAGAGCTGGATGAACACAGCAGGCCAAGCAGCATCAGAGGAGCAGGAAGGCTGACGTTTCGGGCCTAGACCCTGATGAAGGGTCTAGGCCCGAA